TTATTCAATCAATCAATAAATGCACGACAGATAATCTTCAATCAATTGGGTTTCGCCCACCTACGTCGCTTGTGATGTTGGCTAGTTGTCCGTCTATCAACCAATGGGCGAGTAGCGATTCGTTCTGTTCTGCTTCATAGCTATGAAACGTAGCCTTTAAAAATAAACTTTATTGGTATTTGATCACTGGTGCATTCGGAGCATTCTTTGTGTACGTTGAGACCACCGACTGAGTAATGCTGAGGTTAAACTCAGAGTACTATATAAAGATGTCAAATCGACTGGTGAGATAGTGAATCTTTTAAGACCGTGGTAGTTGAGACATATATTACGTATGTACGTCCATCGACTAACTCGATCCGCGATGATGACAGGTTTAGGAGTGGGTTTAGAGGAAACTAGGGAAGGTTAGCTCAAAACATAGCATCAGTTCCTGAATCATTGGATGTTAGAATGAGTCGTGTAAGTATATGCAGACTACGTGATTGGATCCTGAGCGATTTTCATAATCGGAGGTTAGAGGATTTGGGGATATGGCTTAGGATCGATCACAATAGCACAGATACATTCACTCTTTGTCCCCTCTTAGATCCAACGTTTCGAAATACCTTACATTTTCTAGTTCGCAGATCCATATTTTCTCGAATCATATCTTTTGTGCTCAATATTTCTTAAACCAATATCGTGGTGTGTGTTACTGATGTCGATAGATATAAGTAGTGTATATCATCAGTCGAAAGTGAAATACCTGGAGGCAGAAGGTTAGGAAGATCAAAGAAAAGAGAACGGGAACAAAGAATTATTGGTGCAGAAACCAAAGAAAACTGAAGTCTGAAACGGTTGATTGACATGTTGCAAATGAACTATTTACTGTATGGTTCACAGATTTTACCAAACGAAACATCCCACTCCCCAAGAACCTCATCACAATTTATCGGGAGAAATTTCAAGAAAATTTAGACATTCAGTTGGTTCCTCCAGTGGTCCCGCTAAGTCCGCAATACAATTCTTGGATAAGATGAGGGATTCGAACCAATAACGACGAACTGGTGATATCCTTCGCCATAACAGCCATATTAAACTCGATCGAATCAAACCTGTCAAATGAACCTCTATCACTACTCTCCACCAATGAAACAAATATCCAAAAGTCAGTCTACAAAAAACAGACTAAACCATCAAGCTCAGAGAATGAAGCCCTACCAAAATTATTGGTTGATAGAATTCAATCTGCACTGAGGACTTGACATGCATGACATTGATTACCACCCAGTGATCAATCAATTGTAAGTACATCTCACGCCTACTCGGGGTCGATCGCGACCCGGATAGCTCAGTGGTAACGTCTCTGACTGTGAAGCTGGGTGACACGGGATCTAATCCGTCATTGAGCATCAGTTCTCCCAGGACTACATGTACACCTTGTTGACGAGTGCAAAGTAGCACGAAACCTAGGTCCAGGGTTCCCTGTTGACTACCTCCAACTACCATTTTATCTCAACATAGTGCACGTAATGTTGAGTCACCTAGACTGGTGGCCACATTGCAACGTGGTCGATGGGATCCGATCTGCACTAAGAAGGACCTGACATACATGAAGTTGATCACCACCCAGTGATCAATCAATTGTAAACCAAAATTATCCACTTGAGCTACAAATCCCCACCGTTAAGAACTACACATTCCGATTATCTAAAGCTCCACAATATACATATATATATACATCAAATAAATCTTATGCTACTGTTCGTTTATATGTTCTGCTTCAAACCACACAAAGTTGGATAAGCTTAACCTCGCTATGAGATTACTGCATGTTGGTCGATGTGCTTATCAGTCAGAAGTCGCGACCATTAAACTTTACTAATTCTTTGGAGATTTTTACGGTTATTTAATTTAATGGTCACAACGATCATTCCGATGGCATCAAGATCACCGTTTGATCGTTAAAAAAATTGATTATTCTGTCAGTTCATACGTTTTGTTAAATAGTTCTGTATATCAACCACTTCGAATCATAGCATATCACCTAGTCTTCAGTTCGTTTACAAAGGAAGTCACACTTTCGAATACCTACAAACTTGATCACGTCGATAATAGGATGATAGGAATTCACATACCCGTTACTTTCATTCAGAACATGCTATAACAACCAGAGTCGAAAATAATTTAGCAATAACGCTACTCACTCCATACAATCAATTTCAGTACATTCCAAAGTTGGCTAGTGATAGGTGAACCACGAATTAATTGGTGATACATCGACTGATTTTATCATTATCATACGTAAAATAGATGTCTGTGGACTTCTTATTGTAATAATACTCTTTAAAGTATGTGACGTGGATCTTCCTGAATAATGATTACAGCTCTTGAGTGAACTGTTCTACTCATCGCTTTTATTGGCTCCGACTGGGAAATAATAATGGTAATTCGTACCACTGTAGGGTTACTTCTCAAAACTGCTGCCTACGAACATACGAGGTGTAGTTATCGAAGTCATCAGAATTAATATTTATTTGTAGGAGAACTGATGTCATGCAAACTTTATTTTATGAGGTTGACTATAACACTTCTCCGTTTTCGTTGTTTAAAGCGTTTCACTAAGACTTCAGTTATCAGTCGTTGCAGTTTCCTCGTGGCCTTACTGTCCAAAATAGTGTGTACGTACGGTTTTCGCATATTTCGTTCCTCAGTAAACAACCGGATACTGAAATGCCTGTCATGAATTTGAGGATCCAGCATAAAATTCTGATTTTCGTCAGCATTTGATGGTTATCTATTTAAGCACTGGTTGAAAAAATTCTAGTCAGCTGTGGTTAATGATATTTAAGTTTTCCAGTTTGTTGATCACCAGTATGTTTTGTTTCTGTTCAATTTTTACTGTCCTCATGAAATTGACCGTTGTTTATAAAAAGAGAAATGTACCAATAAACCACTTCTTGCTCTCTGAATTGAATGCAGGTGGAAGTTTGAGCATTAGGTCACGACTCGAAACTTAGTATCATCTACAACACAGACTGCCCCAGCTACGAACATTACATCGGATAAATTAGTCGTCTTCTCCAGGTTTGTATACATGGACGCTAACTGACTGTCAAACGCAACAACATACCTCAGATTTTATAAAGCTAACCGCAGACAGATGATACAAAAAAATCTAGATTTTTAGAAACTTAACAGTAAAATCAGTCGATAATCACCATACATACTCAATTAGACTCAACTTATCAATGAAATAGAGAAATCATAAACAACTAACACTCGAAGAACTGGGTAAAGGGGTAAGACTATCAAAATAAATTTGCAGAAAATGACAGGGTAAGTGGTAATATCAGCCAATCAAACTCAATGGTAACTGGACGGGCTGGTAGTCGCTTGTGAATAATTTCGTATAGGCCGCTTTCATTTAACCTGATGAAACTGTTTAAAATTCCAAGGAAAGCTACACGACCGATCCTTCTAGGTAAGAGAATTCAATTTCAATAAAATCATTCTCCTGAGACACAAATCTTCACCATCTCATTTGCTGAATACTTAGTCGCAAAATTCAATTTTCTACTCAGTAGGATATATAACGTACATCACTTTGATATCACTCACCCTTCATCAGCGTGTTGTTTTATGCATCACAAAAGTTATAATATGAAGCAACAACCGAACGGTGATTACTTATGACCATGTTAAATGATAGCCAAGGATTCATCACATGAGATTTGACTAAGATATGTTGCTAGTCTGATGAAAGATGACAACCACGACTTGGCATGATCCGCTTCCTAAAACTTTAGTGACGAAGAATCAATTACCTATCCACAAAATACGACAAATCAGCTTTTTGTCTGCAAAAATATCCGACAGTTGGTATTTCTGACAAACTAGCGCCGGATGTAAAGGATTCTTGTTTCTATACCTTCGTTCTTATTATAGTAACTGAAAGTCAAGTCAGTTTATATATTAGTTCAAAAACTCTGTAATTTAATAATAAATATATTTCTCATTGGGAAACGACAAAAAAATATATTTATTAACTTTCTATCCAATGTTCAATTTATTTGGAACTATCAAGTCTAACCTTGGTACTCATAAGTACAATATTCCATAGACTGAGATACTATTATAGATCTATTTTGATAACTAATAGCATACAATTTATGAAAGCTATACTTAAAAAATAGATCTAATTCAGGACATTCAGATCTTGCGATGAGTGGATCACCATTAAGAGGTCAAAATTTAAAAACGTGTTTAAGCGGTACATAAACATAATAGCCGATATTTCGAATACAGTTTGTCGAATAGACAATTTGTAAGGTTACAGAATAGTCGCGAATATAAATCACGAAGCTCTTAACTTAAAGCAACTTTTATTATTTTCGTTTTACGAAAAAAAAGCTTATTTATCACACGTATTAAGTCGTGATTCTTATTTATGCAATTTTTACCTACATATTTCCTGACTGTGCAAAATAACTCTTGTGTTCTTTTTGTTTCTACTAAAAAGGTTCGGTGTCATCCAAACGTCTTAATTCACTTGAAGCATGAACTTCTGAAATACCATAGGAATACTGTTAAACCGGGCTTCCTCAATTGTTAGGCGATTCCACTTGGTCACTAGAAAGCTGTAAATCTAGGTAAATCATAATTATTAGTTAACTAATCGTGCCCAATAACAATCCATACTTTTGCTCACTTGCCATTAAAGCAGTTTATAACCCTATTATTTTCCCGGAATTCGCAAATATAAAACATTGCTTGAATACTTCTGAATGACTACAATAAATTAAAATATACGAAACGAGATATTCGATATACATAATAAAATTACTACAATATAGCTTAAATTCAGTGCACTTCAATATGGTCGGTTGGGATTCGAATTCATCGACAGTCAGAGCTTTGACGTTACTCGTCTAAAGCAATGCAAAAAACCTGTTAGCACATCCCACAACTCCTAAATCACAATAAAATAAAGTATGATTGAAAAACAACAGCAACGTCTAGTTAAAACATATTACGGCTCCGAAGCATAAAAGACTCAAGAGAAGATGTACAGTAATGTAGCTACAATTATTCAGTCTAACAAACTTGGTGATACAAATAATAAATTAACTTTGTTCCTGAAGAGCACGAGACATTTCTTCGAATGCTTCAACGGCAATTTGAGCCTCTGTCTTCCCCAGTTCTGTAGTAGCGCTTGACAACTCGGATTGTGCCCTAGACATTCCATCTTTAACAGCGTCAGGGTCCAACTGGTCAAGTGAAGCTGCTTCTTCGGCAAGAACTTGAATAGATGAGTCACTATTGACAGTTACAATACCGCTACTAACTAAAAAAAAGTTTAAGATTGAAGTAGTTATGTATGCTAGTTCGACAATAAAGATACCGTCAAGCTTGTAATTTATTTGTATCATTATTTTAATGAAAAAACAGCATGAATAACACTAGGTTTAGTTTCAGAGACATAAATCATAACATACTATACCAGTAAGTCATACGATTTTCTAAAAGGTAAAACACATCAAAGAATGTTGACTCAACGCAACTAACCTATATATCACAAGGTAATGTCATGAAATTATTACCTCTTTATTGTTCGCACCCCCAAATTCCCTAGTACGTCCCAGGGAGAGGAGAGTTCGCTCCCTCTTGAGACGTTTTCATATGACCACGCGTATACAGCCACTGCCAGGAAAGTCCTGCTCACCTCCTTCTCGTGGCACGAATGATGCTCAGAGAACAAATGGCTTATGAACTTATTTTTAATCACCGGCTACCACGAGATTGCGTCTCTAAAAGATGCTCCGCTGCCTTGTGGATCGAACCTATAGGCCGGAGGTGCAGTGAGCGACTCCCCGCCTCCAAGAAAACCACCTGCTTCAGTATCCCAGTCTACATACAATATAAATGATGACTACAATTAGAAAAACTATTCTTATTCATGTAAACTATACTCACGTGTAAATAATCGTTTTTATTTAATATTGTATCACTTGTCTATTCCCTTTTATACTTATTTTGTGTATTTTTTTATTTTCCCTTTAAATAACAGCTTGCCCATGGCGGAATCCCTGTTCTATGAAAACGGTCTCAGGTCAATGACTGGTCGACAGTTGAATGCTACCACTGACCACGAATTCCGAAACCAACCTTTCTAACATCACTCACACCAACCAAACTGGCCTCAAACGCTCACCCCCTGATACAAACCGGATAACAGATAGGGTTGGGTATACCATTAGAAAATCTCAACATCGATGTCTAATGTCCATCTGAGTCCAGTATTCAAGATGCTAGTGAAGTACTACAAATTCGATCTCCACCTGTACCTTCGGAAAACCTGTTTTACGTGAATACATGCGGAGACCTGTGGTATCTCTATCTGGTTTTACTGGCATTGGTATCGCCCTAAGAGCTATAGCTGACGAAACATCGACAGAATTCCTCACGCCTGTTACCAATCTGTCCTGAGTAATCCTCTACAGTTGATATTCATCCTTTTCACGTCTGCTTCCAATTCTTCGCTCAGTATGTTCTTTAACCTTCCACTTTCCCGTTTCCCTTCAGCACTAAAGTTTAGCACTTACCTCGTGACGCAGTTTGATTATTTCCGTAATGTATTTCCTATCCATCTCCAACGTATTTTCCTCTTCAGCTGGAATTTCGTTTCGTCTCTCTCACAATAGGCTGTTCCTGATGGTATCCGGTCAACGGACATTCACTATTTTGTGTAGACAATTGTTTACAAATACTTGTACTTTCTTGATAATGGTTGCAGTAGTTCTCGAAGTTTCAGCTCCGTACAGTAGAACTGTCTTCCGTGCTTCCCCTCAGATATCGAGGAATTCATAATCCAGTCAGCCAGCAGAAGAAAGAGAAAGGGAGAGAGTAATTAGCCTTGTCTGACTCCGGTCCTAACTTGGAATGAGTCTGTCAGGTGTCCTCCGTGCACGCCTTCGCAGTGTATTCCGTCATATGAATTCCAGATGATGTGAACGATCTTCTCAGGTACATCATAGTGTCGAGAATTGCACAAGGTTCTCCTGTCCACATTGTCAAACGCCCTCTCATAGCTAAGGAAGATTATGTATAGTGACGAGCCCCACTCGATTGATTGTTCAATGATGATCCGCAGTGTCACAACTTGGTCCGTGCACGACCGGTCTTTACGGAATCCGACCTGATGATCTCGAAGCTAGGCGTCTACTGAATCTTTCATTCGGTTCAGTAACATTATGTTGAAAACTTCTCGTGGTACTGACAGTAGTAGTGTGATGCCTTTGTAGTTCTCACATTTGCTCAGATCTCCTCTCTTTGCGATCTTGATGAAGTATCCTTCTTCCCAGTCTGTCGGTGGCACTTGTTCTTCCTTCAAAATCTTCCTGAATAGAACATGAAGCATACTTTCAGTTGCTTCTAAGTCTGACTTCAGTGCTTCGAATGGTACATTGTCAGGTTCTGCTGCTTTCCCGCTATTCATTTGTTCGATGTCCATCCTGATCTCTTCGATCGTTGGTGAAGTGACATCTATAGGCATGTCTGTGTGTGCTGCTTTGATGTACAGTGAATTCACTGAGGCTGAGTTGCTCAAAATGTTCTGCTCATGTGTTTCTCTGTTTTTGAATCGCAGTGAATGGCTTGCCTTCTTTATCCTTGACCGATCTCTCTGGTTTACTATACTTCCCTTCCTTCTCTCGCAGCTATATCTGCTGTCGTTACTAGGTCTTCCACGTATTTCCACTTGTCAGCTCTAATGCTCCTCTTCAATTGCTTGTTTGTCTCAGTGTATTCAGCCTGTGTCTCAACTCTCTCTGTTCTCGTTCGGCTGTTGTTAATTGTTGTCTTCTTGTTCTTCCTTTTTCGAATACGAAACAGGGTTTCTATAGAGATGCATTTGTTATGACGATGATTGTTGAGGCTCAGAACCTCCTGATACGTTGGAGTTGGTGCTTCTTTGATCCCTTTCTAATCGTCCTTCATAGTAGTCTCCGACTCTCTTAAATCTTGTAAGACTTGGAACCTGTTGTTGAGAGATATCTTGAGTTCTTTGAGTTTGTCAGTATATCGAAGGAAGGTTGTATTGAACCTTTGTAATCCTGATTCCTCATTTGTCCATTGCTTCTTTAGATTCAGTTTCATCTTAGCGACAACCAGTTGGTGATCTCAGGCTATATTCGCTGCTCTCTTGGTTCTCACGTCTTCCATTGACCTTCTGAATTTCTTAGTGATGCTGATATGATTGGTTTGATTCTGTGTAGTGTGGTGTAATTCGGTGATACCTGTGTAGTCTTGTGTATGCGTTTGTGGGGGAATATTATACCGCAAATAACCACTTTCCTGAATGCACATAAATTGCAAATCTATCACCATGCTTGTTTCTTTCTCGCAGTCAGTCCATGTCGTCGTCAGCGAATTGGTTGCACCTTCTGTTTCAACTAAATATTAAATCGAGCTAGGTTCAAGGCTAGCTACCATCCCACCGAAAAGTATAGACGAGCATTGGCTGCAATTGCATGACAAAATAAAAATAGAGAGTAAAGTTGCCTACCTTAGACAAATTTCCAACATTATGGAATGAGTCGATAGTTGTCCCTATCTTTAAAAAGGGTTCACATCACCTATGCAACAACTATCAGGTAATAAGTCTACTTCCGATTGAGTCCAAAACACTGGACTCCGTCATACTTTGCAGATTGTTCAAAACCCGAATTACATTGGCAGGTTGGTTTTCGTTCTGGTTGAGAATGTATTGATTGTATCATCACCCTCCACTGATTTGTGTGCCAGCGAATTCCACATTGTGCAATGTGTGGCGCATATATATTTGGCGCACTCCTGTACCAATATATGTGTTCAAATAAATAAATAAAATGTTTGCCAATGCTGGGACCAGCTGGAAAAAGTGGTGACCAGTGTATGACATGTGGTATCGGCGCTGTTAAGGACTTGCTTCTGTTGGTTCTTCACGGACCCCTGGTTAAGGTCCTAGAGATGTTGCAACACGGCCTTGAGAAGTCATCAGACATGGCTCAGAATGGAAGTCAGTGGCGATCCTGCTGTAAATTTCTTTTCATTTCCTTATAAAATAGTAACTCCCTTAACTGGAAGAATTTTTTGCTTGTATTTTTCTTAACTGAACTGCTTTTCTCATTATTACTATTATTACTACCACTATAGTTATTGATTTCGCCACCTTCCAAATAGTCTGCTTGATATGGTAGGAACCGAAGTGGCAAGTATATCACCCAGTTGAGTTCAAAATGATAATCGCGACAGCCAAGTCTTAAAAAAAGTGGAAGTAGGGTGAGTAAAAGTACTGGCTAAGTGGCTTGTCCATTGCACATGATAATTGAAGTAACGAAATATCTATACTATAAAATGTAATGTATACAACTTTAGTCACCTTCAAGACACTAAGTACAAACTATTAAATGAATACTCGCATTAGTAGAATAAGATTGAAGGAAGGTTAAAGTGTCCCCAAACCAAGATATAGCATCAGTTCATGAAGCTACTTATTGTTAGCCCGAGCCATGTTGATAGGTGTAGATTTGAGCAATAATCGTGATCAGTGTTCGGAGATGTTATATCAGAGCCGATACCGATGGTGCAGATCCATTCGTTCTTTACTTTCCTTAAGATCTTGAGCTTCAATAATCCTTTATACATCCATATTTTAATACCTTTTGAGAAAACACTCGGTCTTTATTTCCCACTATTGCTATTATTTTAACCCCCTCGGTAGCCATCTCGTTGTGCTCATTCGGCATAGCAAATCGGAGTGACGTCAGGCTCTACGTTGACTAGGATTGACTACATAAAGCTTTGATGACTAAGACCTTCCCCAGGAGTTTCCTCAAAACTATTTCTGGATTTATCTTGATGCACCAGATTTTGAGTTCTAGTTCTATATGTATACTTAACTTACATTACGCTGGTCGTTAGTTGTGCAGTTAAGATGAATCACTACTTCTAGCGATCGATATTTTTCATGTGGTTCCGCTCTTACAACTAAAAGACATTCATACACTAGGAGCCAAAAGCGATTAAACAGAATAACCTGGTGAAGTATAAGATCACATTAACACGAACCACTCCGTTAATTGTCACTGTGATTATTGGAAATGGTGACTCGTATATGCTAAAACTAACATCAATATTAAGGGTAGAGAATCATTTGAATGGGTTATTAGTGCAATAAAAATTACCTAACATCAGTGCTCGAAGTCAATAACTTTAATATTAGCCATGTTGGTAGATGCAGACTACTTGGTTGGGGTCCGCGAGACTATCATAACCAATGGTTTGAGATTCTATGTGAGATGGCTCTGAATCGATCACAATGGCATAGGTGTATACACTCTGTCTTCCCTTGAACTTTGAGGTTAAAATCGCTTCATATCTTTCTTTTTACCAACTAATTCTTTTAACTGTACTATATCATTATATGCAATCTTTCTCTTATATATTACCACCATTGAATTAACTACTATGAATTCGGTGTTCATCTTGTTGTGCTAATGAGGTATGGCAACCTAGACCGATGCATATATGTGCCAGGTCTTACGTTGTAGCCGACTGACTGACTTAGCATTCTTAACCAGTATCATTAACAATAAAACTTAATGAATTATTTCCCTTACTAGGTAGACGAAACGTACCGAAATACTTTTTTACACTTCCGTCATTTTCAGTGACTGCCACAATACCGGGTTTTAGACAACCCACTGTGGGGACATGTTCAGCCAAAACACCGAAACGACCATTTAAAGTGGGAACGTCAACTTGCTTTACCGCGACATTGTTGTAAAAGGCTTGGGCTGATGAAGCAAACGTAAGCTTGAGTTCCGTCAGACACCTTGTCGAAGTTCGAATACTCCGTAGTTGACTTGGAAGTCGAAATATGGCAACCCTTCTGAACAGCTAAAAAAGACAAAAATTGTTTGGAGGCAATGTAGTTAGCGTTTTCACAGTTCGTAATATTTAAACATTCAAAAAGTAAATGAAATGTATTTTCACTTGTCCGAAACCATTGATGAGTATGCAAACCTACGTGTGGTGCCTTTCTAGTCTTTATTTTAGCTTTTTTGTTACAGAAGCAGGAAAGAAATTCTTGATCTTAAACGACACTGGTAAAGTACAAACATCCTGAGAAACTATTTAACGCCCATTCTAAATGATCTTGTTCGTCAGTAAACTTTAGTCCGCTTAGCACAAATCACAAACAACTACTGATACCTAGTTACAGGTGGTGGAACTACAGCTAGAATATTTAAACTCAAACTTCAAGCAATACACTTTTCATTTGCAAACGCACACACACTAAACCTATGGTAGTAAAGTAGTGGACGGAGTTTGAGTGAGTGACACGAAGTACATCTAACAATGACTTAAGTAGTTTCAATCTTACACTAAAATATTATTTCTGATGCCTTAATGAAAACAGTGATTATTTGACGAATAAGTACTCTATAATTTTCGCGACACAAGATATCGTGCACGTAGTTAAGCCACTCACAATGTTCAAGATAGGGATGAAGTTTCCACAACAAACATAATCCAACATTAATGCACGAATACTTTGCAACCATATGAATCTCAGCTTGTCAGCTAATGACGAAACACGAACTCTACACGCTAGTCCTGACTCGTCGCCTTAGCAGGATAAGTCGTTAAATTGTATTATTTGCTCTCTAATGGATAGAAGATGGCAATATTTTGTTGCGGTAATCTAACGTCGTTACAGTCCATAGTTCTGCTCCACCCGAAACACTAAGCACGAATTTCACCAGCCACTTTGTGAAAGAATACTGAATACAAGAACGTAGCTGATGGAAGCCTCGTGAATACTTTGTACCTTAGGCTAGAGAAAAGATAAGGACAAAGGTAATTAGAAAAATACCATAAAGTCAACAGGGAGGTCACCACTTTACCATTTGGCGCGCTGCAAAAATCCTCTTCAATCACCAATCATTATCCCATTGTTTCAAATGGTCATGAACAATAGAAAAAGATTTCACTTAGAGGAATTATGTATCTAGTACAGTGGATCACTGGTGCTTTCAGAAAGAAGCTTAGGTATATTGAACGAACAGAAGAGAAATATTAGTAAATTACAGTGTAATGTATTCAGATTTGTGTATCAAAAACAGAAGGCCTGCGGCCTATGTTATTCCTTTTCTAGTATCCTTCTGTGAGTGTCTAGTCTTCTCTCAAATAGGCCAATTGAATATGCAGATATCACCGTTCTGGGTAACAGGTTTCAAGAATTGATGACTCAGTGTGAAAACCTGTATGCCATGGGTGTTTTGTTCATTCTTCGCTTTCCTGCTATGTCTTTGAGATGTTCCGATCTAGTGCGAAGAAAAAGAGAGTATAATAGATCCAAAATCATTTATTAGTATTCTGTGCATCAAAATCAGATCACCTCTTAATCTATGATAGGATAGAGTAGAAAGGTCTAGCTTTTCAAGCCACTGTAGCGGTAAATAAATCCCCAAAACAAATAGCTCTGTAAGTTTTCGACATTGGATGCCGACCAGATTAGTTTTAATGGACTCACCTAGCTGAAGACGCTTGGTCATGCATCCGCACCAGACCACGTGTGGGAACGCCGTGCTCAACTGATACTGCAATCGCTAGCCAGATTAGATCAGATAATTCCGATATATTGGCAACCGTCAAATACAACTTCTGATCTCGACCATTCTCTCTTTTGATTTCTCTTGGTGGGTACGAGTTATATTAGAAGGTGTTACTGGTAAAAGTGTTGTCAAACACTGAATACCTGTGTCATCTTCACCACTATTTGTATGGTAAACCCCGGAGTTCTGGAATTGCACGGGTAGCTGCCCACTTTACTTTTTACAGGATATCAGAATCAACTTTTAAACAGGAGCTTGCAGCCTGGACGCAGTTCTTAAGCCTAGTTCTTACTACGGTTGTGTATACTGTAATGCACATGGTAGTGTTTAACTTGGTGAAGATCGCTCTTAAAGCGCAGAGGGTCCAAAAACCCTTAGCTGCAATCTCCCAGCAGTGGGTCTTGGTCTTAAGATCATGGCTCACTGTCACTCAGAGATCCTCATGAGATGGACCATGAGTACAGGAACTCCCCCTACGATGTATCAATTTACCTTTGTATTCCCAAAGTGCATGTAGATACACTTCGACGTGTTGATAAGTATCAGCCACTCTTTAGACCAGCCAATTGCAATATTTAAGTCTGCCTGAAGTGAGCATGCATCTGCGTCTCATGTTATTCGGGAGATCATTTACACACAGTACAAAAAGTAAAGGACCTAGGACAGAACCTTGGGATACGCTATTAAGTACCTGTCTCCAGGTGAAGCACTTGGAATTTGTTCTTATTTTATGTGTGCGATCTGCTGGGAAATCCTTTAGCCATTTTCCGAGATGTCTGACAATGCCAAGATTTTCCAGCTTCAATAGGAGTTTACTTGTTAGCACCTTGTTAAATGCTTTGCTGAAGTCTGTGTAGACAACATCCACTGATTTTCCATTGTCTAGAGGCCTTATCCATGCTCCCTTACTATAAAGAGGTTTGTTGTGCAAGATAAACCTTTTCTGAAGCTATGTTGTTCAGTTTTCAACAAGTAGTTGGTTTCCGCGAATGTCATCATAGTCTTTTTGACTATTCTTTTCAGTACTTAACCACAACACTAGTGAGGCTAACAGGTCTGTTGTTCGGCGTAAGTTGTCTTGGTCCTGGTTTATGTATTAGAGTGACGATTGTACCCTTCTAGTCCGTAGGTAACACACCTTGGTCAATTGACATATTGAATATCACAATTAGTGGAGCTGAAATATATTGTGCGATTTGTCTCAGGCTTCTCTCAACACTCGGGAGAGCCTTCAACAGGGTATTGTTAAACAGAACTAATGACTCAGTAGACGACCAACTTCGAGAATAACAAGCTCGATTCCGACCAAATCCCAACACTTTGGATCATTGTGGAGCAAACAATTGAATGGAATTCATCACTCTACATCAATTTCATTAGCTACGAGAAAGCATTTGATGGCGTGGACAGAACACAATAGAGGCTTCTTCGACACTACTGCGTGCCAGAGAAAATGCTCACCGTCATCTGGAATTCATATGATGGGTTAAAGTGCAAATTTGTGCATGGAGGACAGCTCACAGACTCGTTAGATGTGAAAACTGGTGTCAGACAAGATCGCTTACTCTCGCCCTTTCTCTCTTCTCCTGGTGATCGACTGGATCATAAAGACTGTCAAAATCTAGGGGGGGGCAAACACAAGATACAGTGGACATCTAAGATGCAGTTGAACGATCTAGACTTCACAGATGACCTGACCCTCCTAACGCAAACGCAACAACAAATGCAGGAGAAGACGATCAGTGAAGCAGCAGCCTCATCAGCCGTAGGTCTCAACATACACAAAGGGAAAAGCAACATTTTCCGATACAACACAACATGCACCATTCAAATCGCACTTGGTAGAGAAGCTTCGGGGAATGTAAAAACCTTTACATATCTCGGCAGCAGCATCGATGAGCACGGTGGATCTGATGCAGATGTGAAGGCGCGGATCGGCAAAGCAAGAGCAGCATACTACAATTGGAGAACATCTGCAAGTCAAAACAACTGTCAACAACGCCAAAGTCAGATTTTTCAAAACAAATGTTCAGACAGTTCTACTGTATAGGGCGGAAAGTTGGAGAACGACGAAAGCTACTATCCAGAAGATACAGGTGTTCATTATTAGTTGTCTACGCAAAATACTTTGGATCCGTTTGTCAGATACTATCAGTAACAACCTACTGTGGGAAGACAAACCAGATCTCAGCGGAGGAAGAAAGCAGGAAGAAGCGTTGGAAGTGAATAGGATACACATTGAGGAAAACACCCAAATGCATCGCAGGGCAAGCCCACATCTGAAACTCACGAGACCAAAGAAGGAGAGGTAGACCAAAGAACCCATAACGTCCAGAAATGGAGACAGAAATAAGAAAAAGGAACAAAAATTGAACAGAACTGGAAAAGAAGGCCCATGACAGAGTGGATTGGAGAATGTTGGTCGGCGGCCTATGCAGGCGTAAGTAACGTAAGTATTTTGTCTTAGGATTTCGGGTTTTAGTTCATTTGGTCCTGTTCACTTTACCGTGTATAAGGTGCTAAGAGTCTTAAGCACATCGTCTTGACCAAAGTCTATGCTGATTATATACTTGGGTCTCGTTCTTCTTTTAGAAGAGGCTCTTTAATGAAAACTGTTCCGAAATAGTCTGTCATAGTATCTGCTTTTTCTTGATCAGAACAGTTTCTTTAAGTGTATTGTAGTGGTAACCAAATCCGCAAAAATTGGCGTTCTTCCTCCAAATTCTAACGATCAATTTCATGAAACAGTTTTCGACTTACAGGCGGCCAGTGGGAAGTCAATCGCCACATATGGTGAGTGATATCTGTATCTTAACGTGGGTTTACACAAACCCTGAACAGTACCAATCGCAAAAGGAACGGTTCTGTGTAACTAGCAAAGTTGGGATTCACATGACGGCCACAAGACCAACGGTATTTTCTAAGGCACGTCAACTGGCTCACGAAGAGTTTAGGTTGACCAAAAATGAATTCCACCATACAATAGACTTGGAATCATTCGGCTATCTAATAGTTCATGGACATCTCTATTGCAAATGGTCCCTAAAAAAGATATCAATGACTGGCGTTCAAATGGTGACTGTCAACGATTGTACACGAAAACCACTCTCGATCGTTAACGATTGCTTCACATTCACGATTTGATGGCTACCACGAAAGGTACGAATGTTTTTTTTCCAAAAATCGTTCCAGTTAAAGAATATAACCAAATCCCAATGATTGCTGACAATATCCTCAAAACCGCTATCATTCCACATTCGACATCTATGGATTGTCGCGCATGCGTTTCGGTTAAGGAAATTCATCAACGACGTCTTCTTAGCTCTCTACTTCGTACACGTGTATGTAGACGACCGCTTGATCTCAAACTCGGACGGAAAATATCTCCAACAAGTAGATGTTATTTTTAAATGTCTACAAAAACGCAGAACCACTATAACACTCAGATTTGCCAAATCGGAAACGACTTTCTAGACTTTCTCAGACATACTAATGATGCTCAAGTCAACCGACCTCTAAAAAGCAAAGTGGCGGCCATTTTTGATTACCCAGAACCTATCGCAGTCAAGCAACTACGCAACACTGCTCACGCACCAGAACACCAGAGAACCCACTAGTATTGCAATTGACGCGTTGTACTCGACAATCGGTGGAGTGTTAAAACAATTTGTAAATAACACCTGGTAACCTTGGGCATTCTACTCGAGACGGTTGCAAGACGCCGGAACGTGGCAAAGTACTTTCGATAGGGAACTTCTAACCATGTATTTTGCTGTAAGGCACTTTCAATAATTTGTGGAAGACAGAGGATTCATTATGTTCACCAATCATAAACCTCTCACCTTCTCTCTTAGCTCGTCTTCAGTTAAGTACTACCCACGAGATTCTCGACAACTGTAATAAATTTCGCTGTCTACTTCACATATAGAACACATTTCTGGGGTAAGCAATGTAGTTGCATACGCCCTGTCTCGTAAGACTTCCTTGAACGGTTTCTAAGGTATCGACCTTCGTGAACTATTCCAGCTTCAAGAAGACACTGATCTCCAGCGCGACATATCTTCTTCAAGGCTGCAATTAAACGCAACTCAATTTCGTAAATGTGCCCTTCAGCTTAGCAACCAATCAGAATGAGGCGGGAATTATTATATCCGCCATCTTTGTAGGCAATGGCGGTCGGCTTTCTTTGTTCTGTGCTTCTTTCAGCTATTTCTTTTGCGTGGCTATGTAATTTAATGTTTTAGTGTGCTAAAATGCAGAAGTTAATGTAATTCTCTAATT